CACTAGATGAAGGGACAATAGCAACTACAAAGTGCATTCTGTTGCTCCCGCACAGAGTAGGGAACAATACTCTCACATAGAAGAAAAGCTTTGAAGAATGAGAACCAGAAGGATTCATCTATTTGAAGGAAGATTATAGTAGCTTCAAACTTTAGGAGCTCACCAAATGTTTTCTCGGTTTAGAAAATATGCTGGCAACAGCACTAAGTAACAGTTGATTAGTTTGGCATAGTTAATTTAACTATATTGTTATCAATATCAAGAAAAAAACTACTCAAGGTGAGTATTGGAGATTGGGCTCCTCTCCTGCAAAAATTTACTGAAATATAGTATATGTTTCCTTAGCCAAATTCCACAATAAATATTTATAGGCTGATTCCATTAACCATTCAAATACAAATCCCAGATTACTTTATCAGCATGTTGTAATAAAATTATGGGTGGTTTTTTTTTTCAATTATTGTCAACAGGTGACTGTTTTAACAAATAGCTTTTCACTTACCCATAGGAAAAAGCATCATTTGATCTCCACTTTGAAATGACTGAAGCTGCAAGCCCAGCTAACAGAGCAGTACAATCAAAAAACATGTGAAATGAATCCGATATTAAACCTAGACTGGGAATATAAAGAGAAAAAAATTCAGTTAAGTACAGAAGATTATAGAAAGTAAAATACATAACTATTTTTAAAAATACTGGTGGTTTAAAAAACGGTAGTAATAGTAACAATCTCCCTTTGGACCTGTATTTACTTAGGTTGCGAGAGATCCCCCCAGATCTCTCACAATACATATACAACACACACAAAAGGGGGGGGGGTGCAGTCCATTAAAAACCAAGAACCAATTTAATTGAATTTATCAATATATACAAGTTTAATTTAATTTAAAAAATAAATACCCAACAGTACCAAATCTTCAAATTTAAAGCTGGGTTAAAAAAAGGAACAATACCTTTCATTAGGCTCATTACATAAACGTATTTGAGTCAAATGGGATTAATCAGAATCCATTCTGAGACGTTGATGGGATACATTCTTAGCCAACACAAAGCTGGCCCAATATCTTGCATTAGCTTTGGAGTTATTTTCTTCCCAAATTTCCACCCGTGAAGCAAAGAAGGTATCGATTGGAGGAAGAGCTTTCTTTGCCAACGAACATTAATTATGGAACAGTCTCACCACGAATGCTTTCCCCTTCTTGACCTCTTTTCCAGGGTAGTTCAGGGGTGGGATGCTACCGGTTCTGCCCGGCTCTGTAGAACCGGTAGCTCTGAAGAGCAGCAGACACTGAACCAGTTCTGTGTTTGCTGCTGTTTGGCCCACCCACCGGCCTGGGCTCTTACCTGTCTTTTATTTCCTGCATTTTCAACCTCAGCTGCTTTGCGTGGCACAGCTAAGATTTAAAAGGCAGGAAAAAAGAGGCTTTTCAAACGTTGCGCGCTCGCGCCCAGCGCTTTTCAGCTGTCTAGCTGAAAAGGTTTTTTAAAGCTTAAGATTTTTTACACGCGCGTAAAACATCATCGGGCCGGTAGTAACACCAGTTGAATCCCACCCCTGGGGTAGTTCAACTTTAAACCTGTCTGACATAAGTACCATCCATCCAATAATCCAATCAAGATAAAATCCATGCCAGAAGTCTGATATAATACCGTGATTACAAAGTAACCTAGTTCAAATGCCCTCCAAAATTTAATAGAAATACACAATTTAAATGTCACCTTTTCCTGTCCTTCAATTTACCAATTGTTTAAACTTAATCCAACCCTCTCTGGTTGGATTTAGGTTGGATGGCCAAGAAAAAAAAACCAATATTCATTATGAAGATATTAATTCATACAAAGGCTACACCTTCCATTCTACTTTGGAATTCAGGAAGCAATAGGTATCATAGTACTCTGGGACAATTTTCATCTCCATTGCTTTTAAGTCTGAAGGAAGCCAAACTGCTTAGCACAGTCACGAACCTTCACACTAGCTAGGATAAGCCAGAGTACTGAAGGTTTAGAAATATTACAAGAAACAAAGACCAGTCTATTAAAAGATAATTTACTGGATATTTATTAAATTTCAAGCATCTTATACTAAGACATACCATCATAACAGATACATGCTCAAATGTAGAAACTCATTTGCAAAATGAATTATGTTACTCATTTATGCAATACAATATGTTTCTGTATTAGCCAAATCAGAAAATGGACAAGTACTGAATAAGCTACTCTGGTAAGTTACCTTTGACTTTAAAAACTCAAAGTGTTAGATTTTGTTTAAAAATATTTAAACTTGTTTCTTGTTTTAATGTGTTTTACTAGATGCTTACAGAAATAAGATCATTTTACATATGATGATGAAACTATCCATTCAATCATGTCTAATTTTCAACAATTCCATAGATCAGCTCTTTCTACATTTTCTAATTGGGTATGACTTCTTTCAAGTATTTATTTTACATTTTTATTTTACATATACTGTTTCTTATTCTATGGAGTGACAATTTCCTAGAAATTGCAGTAAGAGGCTACATTTAGAGAGTCATGGACTGCTTATCCCTGTTCTCCCTAATATTCTTGGTATACACAAAGTCTATACAATATACTGGCAGCATTACTGCACATATGCCTAAATAGTGAAGCTATTCTATCAGTAATTATATATTTTGAGGAGGAGGCTCACACAAACAGGCCTTAGCATATAAGAAATTAAAAAGACGCTATGCATAAGCACCTGTGGAAAGTGGGGATGACCAGCATTGCAATGCAAATTGCCACCCTTTTCTACAGGTGCTATAACATCATACATACAAAAGCGATCTTGCATCATGCCCCACAATAATAATTTTATTATTTTAAAGAATTCACTGGATTCTACAGAACACTTTCTGTCGTGATTTCTCTTGAGCTACTGTCTGTCAGTTTGGGGATATGAAACTGAGACAAATTAATGGGTGACAGGATGATACAGGTTTGCGCAATTTTAGTTTTGAACTGAACCAAAGACACAAAAAAGACTGCTCTATCCCCCAAAATGGCTTCTATAGCAGCAGGCAAGTTCCAGACACAAGCAACTACAATTAATTTATGTAAAAATCAATATCTTTGAGGGGAAAAATCATAAAAGACCTATACATTCAGTGAGATCTAGTTGGACAACTTAATAAACGCAGTGCAAACAGCATCACAATTAGACATTTATGGAGTAATTATACTTTATTAAAGAAGAGCCCTTCCTTACTGAACCTGTTTAGACACCTCAACAGTTCTGACCCTATAACTGAACAACTTAAAGAATAACACATGACAATCTCTTAGGAGTAATTATTTCATCAACTCCTTTACTCTTAAAAAAAAAAAACTGGGTCAGCAACCATCCTCTAAATATGGCAGAAAGGACATGATATAGGAGGGAGACTGCAGAATTTTCCCAGGTGTATTAGGACAATCTGAGTGATCTGCCCAAACCTTTCTGGTTTTCACCTTGCAGTTTTAAATCAAATTGGCTTCTCTTCACTGACTGGGCATCTAAAAGTAAAGGGGGAAACCAGCGGTGACCAACGTCTCAAGTAGCCCAGGAGAGGAAGCCTGAGACCAACCACTCTTTCCCAAAAGCCAATGGCGCTCCTCTGCCGAGCAGGCCATCCCCTTCGGCCCCTGCCAGAGGGAGACGTGGCAACACCAGCAGCGCTGAACTTGACTTTCCAGGCAGAAGCGCCGCCCTCCCGGCTCTTCCCCCCCACCCTCCCTTCCCCTTTTGTACCTGTTGCTCCAGATGCCGTACAGCAGCTCCACGAAGGCGAAGGAGAGGTTGAGGCAGAGGAAGAAGAAGAGGTTGCGCGACGTCTTGTCCGAGAGGATTGACCTGGAATTGAGGGACGGGGAAAGGGGGGGGGGTGTCAAGTCAGGAAGCCGGGCCCCGCTTTTTGCAAAGCCCGGCAAGGCCTCAGCGGGAGGCGGAGGTGGTGGACGGAGCCGACCCCCACGCCTGATCGGTCTAATGAGTCACAAACCGCACATGCACACACACACACCCCTTGGCTCCGGTTTCCACGCAGAACCACATCCTGGGGCAACCGATACCACCCCCGCCCCGTCCCCTTCTCTCCGCCGCATTCCCACCCTTGCAAGCGAGGGCCCCCCGAAGGAACGGGGTTCGGAGCCCTCCTGCTGCCAGCTGGGGATGCCAGATGGGAGTTGGAGTCCACGCCAGAACAGGAGACAGATGCTGCCCGAAGGCAACCTCACACGGCTCCCTCCCAGCCGGCCGATCCATTTTAGAGGAACCGAGAGATCCCCGTCCTCTCCAACTCCCTCTCCGGGAGATCCGGCTCCCCCGCAGCTGAATCCGGTTTCAACCTTCAAGCCTACCCGAGGAGGCTCCTTCCGTTCCTCCCCCAGAATCCAAGCCCGGCAAAATCTCCCGGCCTCCAGCCGAGCCCGAGGGGGGATCCCGCTGCCCCATTTTCTCGTTTTCTCGGCCGCCTGGTTCACTTCCCATTCTCCGGGCGGGCTCCCAGATCCCCGGCACCTCGGGGTTTTTTTTTCTCCGGCAGACCGGGCGATGTCTCTCTCCACTCTCCGCACCACCACACACACACACACACACACACCGCCGTCCCCTCCAAACAAGTCGCCCCTACCTGAACCATCCCGAGACCTTTCGGAGCAAATGGAGCTTGGGAGGTTTGTACTCGTCGTCCTTGATGGACAAAGGCAGCATCTTTCCCAACGGCGGAGGGGAAAGCCGGGGCCTCGCTTGGCGTAAGGGTCGCGGGGGGAAGGGGGGGGGAACGAGAAAGCAGCGACGCCCCCCAACTCTCGCTAGTCGGCCAGGCAACCCCCGCCTGCTAGGCAAAAGCCGGCCTCTCTCTTTGAGCACCGACTTCCGGCAGCCAAGCGTCGCTAGTGAGCTTGCGCAGTAGGAGGAGGAATGGGGGTGGCTAAGTTATGTCGCGGCGGGAAAAAAAGGAAGGATGAGGTCGGCTCGGTTTAATTTTTACGCTGCACAAACGGTTGCGTGATGCAATGCCCAGAGATCTGTGCTTCGACACACTGGTGGTATCCCAGGAGGTGTGCAGGTAATTCCTCGACTTAGGACCCCAACGGAGCCCAAAATTTCTGCTCTTAAGGGAGGCATTTGTTGAGTGAGTTTGGACCCATGTTTGCAACCTCTCTTGCCACTTTCGTTGCTAAGCGAATCACTGCAGTTGATTTGTTAGTAACCTTGTTGTTATGTGAATCTGGCTTCCCCACTGACTTCGCTTGACAGTTGCAAAAGGTGATCATACGACCTTGGGATACAGCAACCGTCATAAATATGAACCAGTTGTCAAGCATCTGAATTTTGAACATGTGACCATGGGGATGCTGCAAAGGTCGTAACTATGAAAAACGGCCACAAGTCAACATTTTTCAGTATCGTAACTTTGAACGGTCACTAAATGAACGGTTGTAAGTTGAGGACTACCTGTATTGACTTGAAGAACTAGTTTTACAATCGATCCTTAACATGTGCACTTCGGTGTAACTCACGCTAAGTACAGTGGGAATACGTTTACTTGACATTACAGATATGCACGCTACAAAGAAGTAAATTCCATTAATGAATTCCCAAGTCAACAGGCCTAGTATTGTTGCCTAAGAAGTTTTACTTTACCAAGGTAAGGAAATAGGATAACCTATGGACTTCAAGGGTTCTTTCCAAAAAAAACAGTAAGGGGCCATGCTGATTTGATGGCACATAATTAGAATATTTTAGAATACTTTATTGACCAAGTATAATTGGATACACAAGGAATTTGTCTCCAGTGCATAAGCGCTCAGTGTACATACGAACAATGAAGTAATATATTCATAAGCTACCAATAGGAGGATGTAGTAAAAATGATGAGAAGGATAATAGTAATACAGATAATCCTTGACTTATAACACTTTATTTAGTGACAGTTCAAAGTTATAAAGGCACTGAAAAAAGTGACATGACTGTTTTCGTAGTTATGACCTTTGCAGCATCCCTTTAATCATCTGATCAAAATTCAGATGCTTGGCAATTGGTTCATATTTATGACAGTTGCTGTGTCCCAAGGTCATATGTTTACCTTTTGTAAGCTCCTGACAAGCAAACTCAATGGGCAAACCATATTCACTTAACAACTACTGTGTTTCTCATATAATAAGGCTGGGTCTTTTTTTTTTTTGAGCCCCGAAAAAATGGCTAGGCCGTCTTTTCGGGGATGACTTAATTCCGCCCCCCTTGCATCTTCGGGCAGGTAGCGATGGCTTGGATATTGACGTCGGTGTTGGTGGGGCACTTCATATTGGGGTCAACGCAGGCAGCACCATATCCGGGTGTGCAACAAAAGTACTTCCTAACGGCAAGCCCCCACCACCATTCCCCCCCCCATTTCGCATGTTTTAATATAGGCCTTAATTTGGGGGAAGGGGCTTAATTTCATTTCATGCCTATAAAACATGCTGGAACTTCCTATTGGGGGAGGCCATATTGTTGGAGAAACAGGGTAGATTACTAACTTATCAATTGCAGTGATTCACTTACCTATGGACAAGAAAAGTTGTAAAATGGGACAAAACCCACTTAACAAATTTGTGGCTCCATTATGGTCGTAAGTCAAGAACTAACTATACAGCTGTACTACATGGGTAAAGATCCTTAGACCTAATACAGTACCGTGGTATTTAGGTGTTCAGCAGAGTGATGGCATGAGAGAAAAAATGATCTTTGTGTTTAGTTGTTTAACATAATTAATCAATCCAAAATAAAAATCAAGTGCAGTAACAGGAATAAAAGAATGCCAGTTCAGATACATGTTGAACATAGCTTAGACCCATGCTAGCTTGTCGATCAGAAAGGTCGGCAGTTTGCCGGTTCAAATCCCTAATGCTGTATAACGGAGTGAGCTCCTGTTACTTGTCCCAGCTTCTGCCAACCTAGCAGTTTGAAAGCATGTAAAAATGCAAGTAGAAATAGGGGTCACTTTGGTGGGAAGGTAACAGTGTTCCGTGCGCCTTCGGCATTTAGTCATGCCAGCCACATGACCATGGGGACATCTTCAGACAATGCTGGCTCTTCGGCTTTGTAACAGAGATGACCATTGCCCCCTAGAGCCAGAAATGACTAGCACGTATGTGCGAGGGGTACCTTTACCTTTAGAGAATAAAGGAGAAATTGTTTTATTCTGCCATGAGATCCTGGGGAAGGAGGAGAAGCTGTGTAAGGAGTACAGTACTTCCTCTGATGTCAGTAAGCTAACTAATCCACAGTTCCTCTGCTACCAATAACCAGCACCAAGGGAGCCATTTTTCACATTTGTTCTCCTTCACTTTTCCATCCCACTCTGCCTCCATTTCTCCTGCCACCTGTCCCACCTGCCTCTTGTCATGAGAAGCAGGCATGATAAGAAAAAGGAGGAGAAACTAGATTCTCACCCTTTTCCATAGGCTGCAGAGCCTATGCATTCACACGCATATGCAAAATAATCCTCCTGTAGAATGACTGATGATTACTTGCTCCCACTTTGCTTTCCAGAATAGAACCACCCCTCTACAGAACTACAGAACCTTTTTGTGGGAACAGAAACAATGGGAAACAATTCTTCAGCTGGACAGAAGAAGCTCTTTTGGGAGTAGGGAGAACTGGCACTAAAAAAACCCTGCTTTTCCACATTACCTTTTTCTGACATTTGTAGATTAATCAAAGGCACGGGAGAGGTGACTTTTCAACACCATGGCAGAGGTTCAATTATCTTGGCTTAAAGGCAAATAACCAAGGGGAATGTCCACAGCAATTAGTTGTGGGCTGGAGCAGCAGCATAGGCCCTGCCCTTAATTATATTTTTCTTCCCTTCAGTTGTATCCAATTTTTAGACGCAGTCTGATTAGTCCCACCAATATTCTTGGTAATGTTTGGATTTGCCATTTTGCCTCCTTCAGAGGGTTGAGTGAAAACAACGAACCCAAAATCACCCAACAGGCTTTGTCTCTAAGGCAGGACTATAATTCATCGTCTTTCAATTTCAATCCTAATACCTTAAACCAATACTGGTTTTCACCTCTTAAATTTACCATGAAACAATTGCCACAAACTGATTTTGTGGGGGAAACTAAAGAATGCTACTTTTGAAGGAGATCAAGATAAAAATAGCAGGGGACTGCCTTTGCAGTGGGCCCGATGTTGAGGATGTTTTGCATTCATGACTTGTGCCAAATTATTATTATAGTTTTTCACACAGTCAGCCAGATGTTTAAGTTGGATTTGACATTTTTATCCACCTATCAAGTCCTTCCCAAGGACCTGGAATAGGCAGATGTTATATGGTGATGTTAAAAGTAGGTTGCAGGACATAAGCTATTCCAAGTAAAGCTGCCTTTTGCAAATGATTTACAGTGATTTTTGTCAATGCTGGTAATGTTCCAGGTGTTGCTCCAGTTTTTGGGAATGGCACCCAAAGTACCTATCACTAAATCTTTACTTTCTTTTGCCATAGTCGTTCTGTTTCTATCTGTATTAATGCAGATCTTCGTATTATTATCAAAAGGGCTTTCTTTTTAATAAAATCCGTCGGCCTGAAAAGATGTTACCAGACTCCTCCTCTGAATTTTGCCTGCCATGGACTTACCACGGCTTCCCAGAATAGGAGAGGCTGCAATAAGGAGGGGGCGCCCAAACACGACTGGGGGAGGTGGGGGATCAGTCTAGCTGGGGAAAAGAAAAAAGGGATGAAAATCCCATATTCTATACTTGCAAAATTATTATTACCGACTTGCCCCCATCGCATTGGCAACCGCCGGAGCCTAGAGGAGGGGCGCTTTCTCCCAACAGGAAGCACAGGGAATCAAAAAAGGAAGGGACTGCGGGGACCGGGTCCAGCCCCCTTTTGCGTTCCTCTCACGTTGCGATGGATGTTTTTTTAATTGCGGTTGAATCGTGCGGTGCAGCGCTAGACGGCTTGCGAGTCGGAAGCGACGCCTTTTGATAACGGCTCCCTAATTCCCGAGGCGATCGCTCCTGCTGATATGCGAACTCGCTCTCGGGCCTCGGCCTCCCCTTGGTTGCAGGTGAGCAAGGGAAACTGCGATTGTGGTTAAGAAGCTGTGCAGTGTCGTATACAATACATGGCCGGGGTCGGGGGTGGTAGGCAAGGAGAAATATTTTTGGGTTCCGCAGAGTGGTCGAGCGAGAGACATAAATTGTGGGGCACTAAAAGAAAAATAATTAAATAATTAGCCTACTGGATCTTTTGCTTTGATCTCACTCCTCACATCTCGTTTTGCGTTTGGTTTATGGACTTGCATGGGGACGAGAAAAATAAATAACTGTAGGGTGTTGCGGGAGATTTCATAATGCCAGGAGAAGGAGTTGTATATCGGTCTCTGCGTCACTGACAACACTTTTATACTGTATATATCCCAAACAGCTTCCTTAAGGGATTAGATGCCTCTAAGGTAATACTTTGCTCTAGCTGTATTAAAAAATAGGAGAGTGGCCCCCTAAAAAAGAGAGGTGCTTTGATGCAGGGTTAGCTGCAGCAACCACAGTCTTTCCCTCACATTTTTTTACCTACAATAGCCTTAGCTTTTAGGGAAACTCATAGATGATTATTCAGAAATAAGCCTTCCCTATGCTGATTCCCTCCAGGTATCTTGGACTCATCCAGGGAATTCTGGGATTTGAAGTCCAATACCCAGAGTGAGGCAGTTATGGAAAGCTGCTCCAAAAGAACTCATCAAACACAATTTGGCTTATCTATTTATATTATGCTTGATTGATTCATATCCTGCCTTTTGTACAGGAGTGAAAGGAAATGTTCATTGTGCGCCTTATACCATACTGCTTTGTATTGGTGTCATATTTAACACACAACTCTTGTAGTCTGAAGTTTTGTAAATGCGTGTTTGGGACTGAAACCTACTGAGATTGCTGGGTCTTTCTCCCAGAGTTGTATAACATGAAGCTGCAAATGGAAAATTTTTAGCATACACGTTCATGGTCTAAATAGGTGACAAGTATAAAACTCAAGGTACAATTTTCAATAAATGCTTTTGTCCTAAAGCAACTGCCTTGCTTGAAGATGATTCAGAAAAGTAGTGGCAAAAAAACCTATTCCTATCTGTATCCTCTCTAACAATATTGTCATTTTTCGTGCAAGAGAGGCTCTCAGTCATAGGTAACCTTCTTCAAATAAGGACTGATAAATGCTTTGATCTAGATGTGATGTGTCAGCAAAAAAAACATCTGGTGAACAAGGCAGAACATTCAATTGAAAACAATTTGTCTGTTTTTGTTTACTAAATGCGTGGTCTGTTTGGAAGTGAGTTTACATTTAGAGGCTCTCATTATAGAAGTTGCCGTGTAATGAAGACATGATTGTATATATTGGCAAAAAGGTGTACAAAAACAAAGATGTCAAATCTCATCTCTTTGCAATGATAGACTGTAGAAATATTAACAACATTAACAAGCACACTCTGGATGGAAAAGGTTTTGCCTACAAATGCCTTTGCTAGATCCTATTATCTTTTTCCTGTATACAAGTTAGAAATTCAGGGAGTTGCAGTCTCGGTACATTGAGAGGTCATCAAACTGGGGAAGGATAGCGTAGTTCCTAAAGCAATATGACAATACCTAATTTTGAGTTACTTCGTTTTCCAACAGAAGTAAAGTTTATCCTATATCAAGAACCCTGATAAACACAGAAGAAAACTTCCTTTGCAGGAATGAGGTGAGTTCAACCAAATGGGATTCCTCTCTAGATTGCTTTTCATGCATTTTAGAAATTAAAACATTATTTGTTTCTAATGCCTAGAGAAAAAACAGAGCATTGTCCATGCTTAAATATTTAGAAATGTTACTGCTACTTGGCTTCCTATACAGAGATATTTGGATTGAGTTGATAAACCACGGTATATACATCATTTATATATTAATTATCAGTCACTCAATCCACTGCATAAACTCTTCATTGAAAATGATGAACCATAATGCACCATGCTTGTCTGCTGCAGAGGCAGATGTTTTTTAAATGTCCCAAGTCTAGGCCTCAGAGAGGGTGATTCTCCCAAAGTTACTCAGCCCACACTCATGCCTAAAGAGTATTAGAACTTGGTTATCTCTACTCCTAATCCAGAAACACTTTAATCATCACAAAGTTGAACATTTATTTTAGCAGGTGGTACTTTGTTTTAAATTTATTTCTTAGCTTTACCTCTTGTCTTTCCTCTTAAGAGCTAGATGAAAAAGTCTTATATCAATATATATCTTTTATTTTATCTTCATAAGAGATAAAAGAGATCATGAAATAGGTAGATGAGGGAGAATGGTATTGGCCCAATCAGTTGAACATTGGCTTCCCCATCCTGACAAACGCTTGAACTACTATATTGTACTATTTCTTAATATTTGGGAATTGATACTTAACTGAGTTATTAAATTATCGCTTCAGTTATAATCTAAATGAATGGACTGGGTTCAGATAACACATTAAGCCACCAATATATATATATAGCCAAGGTTTAAAGAAACCAAGAACTGCTAGATTTTTAATCTAATTAACCATGTTATATGAACTTGGCAGTTAATAAACTTATGCAAAAGTTAAAGCATTTTCTAAAAGATGTTTCCACAATTGCTATGGGCAACTTTCCCAATCCAACATTCTTCAGGTATGATAGGATTATAACATCTGGAACAATCAATACATATGGGAGTTGTAATTGTACACATCTAAAGTATACCAGGTTAGAAAGAACTTGGACACATTATAGAATCTGTATCTTTGTTTCATGTGTAACTTTGATGTGTTATCATCCGTCCTTTAGAAGCCAAGATTGCTTACCATCCTAGTATACCCACAACAAGTAATATGATCTTCAGTAGTTCACAAGAGCTTTTCATTGGGCATGGGTTTGTGAGAATTCTTCATTATACATGTGCCCAATTAAGTTTCCCATTTATTAGTAGTACATGTATAATGAAGGACACTTTACTGCACTGTAATGTCAAGTTAGTTTGAAATTTGTCGTTGGTCCTGATTGGAAGATTACTGACTGGTCTGCTGTTTATTTTGTCACTGTGTTTTTGCAAGAATGCATATTTCTTTATCCAGTGGTTGAAAGTCTGAGGATTCCCCAGTGTTTCTCAAATGTCTCTAGAAATTTACCCCAAAGTTTGGGTTACTGATTCCACAGCTCCTTGTTGTTGTACTTAGTGTATACATACTTATCATGTTTTGTTAGTAAGTGATGTTGGTGTTACTGCCTTTGAGTCATCTTCATGATAACTTAGGCCTTTCTTACAAGTTGTGATGCTTTGGCCTTTCAAACTGTTTACTATTGCAAAACCGAGATCCCCCCTCCTGTGTATTATAGATACAGAACTAAAGTGATGTACAAACCAGTATTAAATATTGATCAGCGAAGTGTCTGTTCTCATATTGCAGTTGTGAAGAGAAGAAGTAGATTGGGATATACTAAATTATTGTTTTAATACCAACATAAAAACATCCTCTCCTTTTTTTTCCAAATGAGGCTTAGAGAAGAAGACTTAAGGAATCAAAGTTGGTTTTCTTTTAGAGAAAAGACTGCAGTTTCAATTTTTATACAAAATAAAACTGAACTTGTATCTGTCCTTTGCCTTAAGTGAACAGTGTCCCTTTTGTCTAAATTGTTGCATTGCATTGTAAGCTTGAAATCCATCCAATATTGTCCTACAGTACTGCACTGTTACGAGCTTTATTCCTTGTTATTGTTGTCAAACTTCATTCCTGAATTCATCAGTAAGTCTTAGCTCTCCACTAGAATAAAACTGAAAAGCTAATCTTGTCCCAGTGAATACAGAGATTCTGAAGATGTAGCTAGTCTGTGCCCAAGTTTACTGAAAATGTAATGTGAAGACTAGAGTTGCAGGGATTCCTGGGGATTGTTGATGGTGATTTGTACCATTGTTATCTTTGACAGATCCTGAGCACAAAAGCTGATTATCAAAAGTTTCAGCCTAGCAGGAGGTGGAACAGACTAAGTGGGCAAAAGCATATGTGGGTACAGTAGGGGATTCAGTGAAGATACTCATGGTATCATTATTGATTAAGGTCTATAGTGATTCAGTGCCCCCACCGTACAAAGCCTTTCAACATGTGGCATTTTGCAGTACTTACCCTCTAGCACTGCTGATAACTAATGGCAATGACTCAATTTGACATGCAATGCAGTAAGAAATTAGAGTTTTCCTGTTTTACATAGACAATGAAAAGAAGTGTTCATTTGAATATCAAACACTTCAATAGATCTTAAATTATGTCTTATTTTTTAGAAATTAAACATCTTATTTAGAAACTTTGTTCTGCTTATTAAAAAAAAAAATTTTTATCCAATATTTTATAATTGCTATTTTGGGGGAAAGGTTATGATATGTACAGTATAATTGTGAAACAAGATTTAATATTCTCAAAAGTTTGTATTTTTCTCAATGATATTCCTTTGTATGGAAGTTGACACTAGAAGAAAAAAAAATGGATTGTCTGTATGCTTGACTTACAGCTAAAAGACTAAAAGAACTCTATGGTTTGTAGAGATTTTATTAGCAATATACAGATGAATTATTTACTAGGTTAGCTATTATAATGAAATATAGCTACCATGTATTAAAATGTATGTAGAATTTTCATTTTCTTGCAAGTACAGGACCTGCTTTTTTTCAGAACAACAGAGTATTCATTTAGTGGTTGTGATAGGAATTCATCAACTAGCTTGTTGCCTGATCTAATGCTGTGGTTTGAGAGACAGTCACTGGCCCAAAGTCACCCAGCTAATGTTCATACCTAAGGCAGGACTAGAACTCAGGATCTCTTTAATTCTAGCCTGGTTCCTTAATCACTAGACCAAATTGGCTTTCAACCTAACATTGATTCATTGGTTTGGATAGGAATTGACTGATTGGCTTGTTGCCCAAGCTTGACATTATGGGCTGAGAGATAGAATATCCATGAATATTATATGCTTTGTATATTTTTGTTCACCTGGCCACCTAGCATGTTGAAAGCATGCAAATGCGAGTAGATAAATAGATACCACTTCAGCCTTGGCATATAGTCATGCTGGCATGTGACAATAGAAATGTTTTTGGACAACACTCCAATTAATAACGGAGATGAGCACCACCCCTAGAGTTGGACACGACCTGAAAGGGAAAACCTTTATATTTGTTTTCCTTTCTTTCTAGATTGCTTTTGTTTTCTTTTTAACAACTTTGGCTTCCTCCCTCCTTTCCTCCCTTGTATTACATTTTACATTGATAAAAGCAAAACATGTTTCTAATAACAGTACAGAAGCTGGCATTGTGCAGATCACCAGTTTCTTCTATAAGACTTCTTTAGCCGCAGTAAGGATCCCGCTGTGATGGTAAAAAGCAGTTCACCATCTGATGAATGGATGTTTTGCAATCAGTAAACCATGGTAGCCATTTTGTAAGAACACCTACTGGTTGCTTTCAGAATTCTAAGTGGTTCCTACTCAACAGCACTGTCTATCTCTGCTTATGAAAACAAGCATTTTCTCTCCATTTTCTTTTTGGTTTAGCTTTTCATTTCTCTGGATTTTGCTCTTTAACTGTCCCATCCTCAGCCTATTTTCTTGGCTTGCTGTTTGATGGAGGCCTTGTTTTACTCGTTGGACTTCATTTATTATATCTATATACCATCTTGATGTGGTTCAAAGCAGCATGCATTAGCTCTCCATCACAGATGTTGGTAGAGATAGGGCTTGAGCAAAAGGAACCAAATAAGCATCCTAGCTCAAGTGAGGGTTTAAATCTAGATCTCTTTTTGCCTAATCTGATAATCTAATTATTAGATTACCTCAACATTTCTTTTAAACTTCTCCTTTGATTTGAAGTGAGCACCTGAACCCTGAGCAGTCCCTTTTCGATGTTAGTCCCACTATTATTTAATCTAGATTATAACATTCTATAATTATGCATACATCTCCCCCCAAATGTTGCAGTGTATTGTCGCATAAATCTTTTTTGCATATAAATTTTATGTAAGTTGTTCCTGCTCTGAAAATAGCATCCTGCTATTCCTCACTCAGCACATATTTGTTCAGATGAAAGTATTATGTATCTGTTAATTCATATGCACCCATTATGTACTCTTGAATCACCTTGGACCTTCATCAGTAAGCTATCTAAATATAAATTCTTACATCTTCCCTGAATAGCTCTCCTTGATGAAGTAATACAAATGGTTTGGGACATAAAAGTGTACCTATTACTTAAAGTATTATGTGCCAAAGGCTAGTTTTTCTAGCACTGGCCCTTTGCCAGTTTTGTGTTATTTCCTCATTGATATCAAGAATGCCTGTTCTGAAATAATGGACTGAATGATGTACAGATAGTCGTCAACTTACGATTGGTTGCTTAGTGACCATTCAATGTTACAAGGGACCCAGAAAATGGGAATTATACCCTGGTACATTATCACATTTTGGGTGCTTGGCAACCAGCCTGCATTTACATTTATTTGTAGTGCCTCTTTGTGCTCTTTGCAACATTTTTGCCAGAAACTGACCTGGTTAGATTTGATTTAAATCAAGTCAATTTAAATCACGATTTAAATCACTAGTAAAAAGGCTTGATTTAAATCAATTTGATTTAAATCATAATTTTCAAAGAGCAACTGTCATCTCTGTCCTGCAGCGGCTTCTCCTCTGACCCGCTGTTGACTCTAAAGTCCCATTCACTTTAATGGGACAGTTGGTGATGCGGCAGTGACACAACAAGGTGAAGGACGTGGCGGGTAGCAGGTGAGTGGATGCCCGCTAACAGATACTGCCATGATGGATCTGAAATGACAGGTATTCTTTAAATGTAAGGACTCATTCTTGCTGGTAGTTAAAAATTTTAATATTATTATTTGCAAACAAAATGAAGGTTTCCTATTTAGCTTACAGAGCTTGGATTCATTGAATGAGTTTTAAATTTTGCAGAATATACAGCCTTATTCTACATACCTAAGCTCCATTTCATGCTGAATAAACTAAAGTATTAATGTATCTTAAGTAGAACATTATCTTTAGATAGATTTTTACTCCAAAAGCATTTTATTAAAATAAATTTGATAAAAATAATAAAAAATCTGATTTAAATCAAAAATCTGACTTTTTTATTTTTTAAAAAATCATTTATTTTTATCCACTCTGAAACTGACATTTACTTCCGGTTTCCGACAAAAACCAGGCCATAGTGAGTATTGGGTTCACTTAAAGTTCACATAACAACTGCTACAAAAATGGTTGTAAAATCAGTTCTGGTTACATGGTGACTGGTAATTTATGACCAAAATTGTAAATGCAGGCTAGTTGCCAATTAGAGTTGTAAGTTGAGGACTACCTATATTGCTTTATCTTACAAAGGGGCTGGGAATCTATAGAATCCAAACATAGTAATGATGAACAGCCCACATAAATAATAGTATCCTTCTAGCATCTATATTGAATTTCCACGATTTAATGCAATTTCTGCTCCACTATTTCAGAACCATTCCAGGAATATACTGGTGGGAATACATTTATGAAGTAGTCCCCAAATCTAACTAGGTCATCTTTGATCAGTTGTAGATTGTGAAATTGAATGATTGTTTAAAATGGTCCAATTCATGTTCCAGATGGATCTGGATGTCTTGCTGACTATTCTTGAGATTTTTTTTGTCTCTATCAGCAATAACTTTTGCACCCTGTGGTCTGTGGACCAGATCCAGGGCCCAGGAAGTTGACATTATCAGTGCAGTCATTACTTTGGATTTTTACCTGATCTTGATTATGGATGTGTGTTCAGCACAATGTGATAAGAGAAACCAAGCTGAAATTAAACTCAGGCAAGAAGAAGATGCTATTATTAATAAAGAGGAAAGTAGAACTGCAGAACTGAAGCAAAGTCTACTTTAGGTGGAGCTGTTCTCTCATAGAAGGAGCTTATCTACTGTTTGAGAATACTCTGTTTCATTCCCAGCTATAATTAAATATGTAGGGGATGGTTATGACCAGGAGTGTGTTTACATAACTATCAAGTGATACATTAATTACAACTCTTTCTAAGCTCCTTGGATTTGGTGACAGTCATCCTTCTTTTAGTTGCAATCTATTGTGACTATTGCAGTGAGCTGGAAAAGTGTCTGGAAATTAAAATAGGTGTAAAAAATGCAAAAGTTCAGGTATCATATACTTATATGAAAGAATCTGCATGTGCCCAATCTCCCCATTGTCTGTTGGGCACAACTTAAGATGTTAGCGTTGATTGATAAAAATCTGACTAGATGACCTACAAGGTCCCTTCCAACTCTGATTATCTGGATTTGGTAAACAACTTAGACGTAAGAGTGAACACCTCTCCTGCTATGAATGTGCCTGATAACATAGACTGGTAACAGAGTGAATTTTCAATATATGTCAGTGACTAATGTGTGAACACTTGATATTTGGGAGAGGGGCTTCCCTGTGGTTCCCAGATAATGGAATGCTCTTACTTTCTGAATATTTAGAAAATAGCATGGTTGTATTAATTTCACAAATCCTTTAAAATATTAGTTGATTTTAATGCCATATTTTATTCTTTTATATTTTCATTCAAGTTATTGCAAGGCATATTGGCGTATAAGGAGAATGATTCAGTATATATTTAATAAATAAATGTGCAGATTGACCTATCCTTGGTTTATTGTTTTATTACTGGATACGGTATGCAGGTCATCAGACTAAGTTGAAGTTACCTTGGTTGGGAGGAATCTCAGTCTTGATGATTAGTAAACTACTCATGTGCTCAAATGTGAGAAGTGAGTATGCTATTAGTAAGCCACCAAAAGACCAGGAGAACCGTTCATCTCAGGTGGCTGAAGGTCATCTACAAGCATGATTAATGTCATGAAGTCCAACTAAAACAGTCCAACTCAAGCTGTACAATCAGACCTGGTCTTCTATACAGTTGAAGAATTGTGTAGTTGTTAGATTATATTTTGGATATGGCAAGATGGAATGCTTTGCTTTCATTTCCTAAATTTCAAGCAGCCAACTTAAAGAAACTGCTTAGTTTGTGTTAGTGTTAATTTTGTATGTAGCATTGTATGATCATGAATGATTGACTAACTTTCACCTCTTTTTTAAAAATACTTAAGGTTTTACCATACCTGCAAGCTCCCTGGAAGAATTATGGGTATCCGGCTACTCCACTTTTCTTCTATAGTGATTTTTTTGCTGCTTCTGGTGGCAGGTGCATTAACAGCTTTACTACCTAATATTAAGGAAGATAAAATGCTCACTCTGCGAAGGGAGAGAAAATCCCAAAGCCAGCTGGCTTCAGATTCATTTACTCTTATTATGCAGACATACAATAGAACAGACTTACTCTTGAAGCTTTTAAATCACTATCAAGCCATGCCTCATCTGCAAAAAGTGATCGTTGTGTGGAATAATGTTGGGGAGAAAGCACCTGAAGAAACATGGAATACTTTGGGACCTCATCCTGTCCCTGTCATCTTCAAAGTGCAAACAGTAAATCACATGAGGAATAGACTTCAGGTTTTCCCAGAGCTGGAAACAAAAGGTAATTATTGTCTCTCTTTATTATCTCATTCTACCTTCCCATCAGTCATGATTACAGCTTGTAGTGCAATAAAGGGGTTATTGATGAAAGGGAAGAGTTAGTAATGAATAATTCATGCAGCAGACAAGGTATGTGAGAAAGACCTTGAGAAAAGGGATGAAGGAATGCTCAGATCAGGGGTGTCAAATTTGATTTTATGGAGGGCCGCATAGAGGATTGTATTTGACCTCGGAGGGCTGGAGTGGGTGTAGACAGTATGGGCATGGCCAGCTTGACAACACTTGTGTCGGTGGCGTCCTTTGCTGTTTTCAGGGCGGCCCTGCAGGCCAGATCTAAGCCCTTGAGCCTTGAGTTTGGCACCCCTGGCCTAGATAATTATTAAATAAGATACACCAGGTATGCTGGAGCTCCATAATAGACACAGAAAGAATGGACCTTCCCTCCAAACTTCTCAGACTGTAAGAGACAACAGAAAATTTGTACAGGTAGTCCTCAACTTACAACAATTCACTTAGTGGCTGTTCAAAGTTACAACAGCACTGAAAAAAGTCACTTATGACCCTTTTTCACATTTATGATTGTGATGACCCGTAGTCTCTCAAAATAACCCAAAACCCAAAACATATATTAAAATCCGGTAAAGCCTTCAACTTAATTTCACTGTTTTATTAGGCACAGTTTAAAGTCACAAAAGTAAATAAGGAGGCAAACAGAAAACCAAAACAAACCGCATTGATGAGAGTTCTGAAGCAAGCCGAGATAACTAATTATAAACTCCAGGAAAATAGCCGAAAAAAGTCCATGGGAAGAACGCCAGCAAAGATGAGCCTCTTTCAAGGTGAACACTAATTGACTTCAGCAATTCTAACTGCACAGTTGCAAACTTATATACATAGCTCCCACCTGCAAGCCACGAGGAGGATCATGGTAATCTCCTATTGAGTAGACCTCGCTTTTCCCTGATCCTCTCCTCCTGCGTGACCTAGGATGGATAAGGAATGGGCCTGGATCCTCCTCTGACTGCTCAGCCGGCCTCTGCCCTTCCCCAGCCTCCTCCACCACCTCTGGAGCCACACTCCCACTCCCTGTTGGCTGTTCCTCCTCTTTCTCAGAGTCAGACTCCACCAGGGGCATGACACTATCCCCCCCCCCCCCCCCCCCCCCCCCCCCCCCCCGC